GGCGGGGCGGGGGTGGGCGCTGAGGGCCTGTGTACGTATGTTTGTATGTTTGCTTGTTTGTTTGTATGTGTGTATTGGGGGAAAGGGGGAGAGAGGGAGGTTCTTCAGTCCCAGTCCTCGTGCGTCGCATGTGTGTGTGTGTGTGTGTGTGTCGGTTGTTGAGTTTATGATGGTTACCGTGTTCCCGACCGATCATCCGAGTGCTCCCTTCTGTGCCCCCTTTCTCCCCGCCCTGCCTTGCCCTGCCCTGCCCCGTCTGGGCTCTGTCGCGCTTCTCGTCTTTTTCTCCCTCTAGCGACCTCCCCCCCACTTCCCTCCCCCCCACTTCCCTTCCCCCCCCTTTCCCCGGGCCCCGGGGGCCTCAGGCCGGCTCGGTGGCCCTGCTGGTGCCCTCCCTGGAGGAGTCCCCCCTCGGTGTGCTGCTGGGGGACGGAGTGATGCACATCTCGGCGGACTTGTTGGTGGAGGTGATGGAGGCGCTGTGAAGTTAAGGGGGTTTGGTATGTATGTATGTATGTATGTGTGCATGTATGCATGTATGCATGTATGTATGTATGTATGTCGTAGTGTGTATTGTTGGCCCGGAGACGTGTGTGATGAATATGGGGTGTGATGTTGGCCGACTGGGGGTGGGTCTGAGCAGTTCGAGTTGGTGTTGGTGAGGGTGAGGGTAGTTGGAAGTTGGTTGTGTGAACCGGGAGCCTCTGAGAACATCTGAGGGGCCCTGGGAAGTTAGGACGTTCAGTACGTCAGTTAAAGCTGTGTATGTATGTATGTATGTGGTGGGGGGAATGGTCAAGGGGTTGCTGTGTGTGTGTGTGTGTGTGTGCAGCATCAGCAGGAGTGGGGAAGGGGAGAGGGATGATGTACATACATACAGATACAGGAGAGGAAGAGGAAGGGGTTACTTCAACAGGTGTACTAAAGCACATTGGCATCCTGAAGAAATATCCGCTACTGCAAGTTTGCTGTAGTTGTATCATGCATCTGTATGTGTATATGTATGTATGCATGTATAGCATTATGCTGAGAGTTCTTGTGAAAAGCTGCATGAAGCCCGGTGCGCATCTGTATGTGTGTATGTTTATGTATGTATGTATATCTGTATATACGTGTGTGTGAATGGGGGGCATGGCTCGTTCTGGTGAGTGTGGGGGTTACGGCAGTTCCCTCCCTCGCGGGGCCTCCCCCGGCCCCCTTGGAGCCCACCAGCTCCCGTGACCATGTGGCCATGTCGTGGACCTTGTTGATATTCCTTTCCTGCTGCTCCGTGACCTATTTTTCTTGCTTGTTGGAAGAGCGAATGGAAAACAGTATTAGTACTTGTTGGCCAATTGGCAATGACAGTTGTTCGTTGTAAGGTTGGTGGTGCTGCGGGGAAGAAAGGCGGCGTCCCCACGTCTAAATGAATACAACCGTGTAGGAAAGGGCTGGTGGTGGTGGTGGTGGTGCTGCTGCTGCTGCTGGTGTCGCGCGCCTCCATGACGGCGACTGCCGGAAGCGCCGCTGTGCTTGCTTTTTCTTGTCTTGAAGAGCTCTTGGGACTGTCATTTTTGCTGCTGTTGCCGTTACTGCTGCTGCTGCTGCCGCTGCTGCTGCTGCTGCTGCTTATTCACATGACCTAATGAGTGATTTAGTATAAATTTGCATTTGTGTTTGTAATTGCATATCGGATGAAACCCCGAGTCTAGTATCGGTACCAAACTATCAACAAACAATGTAACTGTATAACGGTGCCAGGGGGGTTACAGGGGGGTGGGAGGTTAGGGGGTAAAACGGGCCGTGTGCCGCCAGCTCATCACCCCGATTTGAATCGCCTTGCCCTCTCAAGTGAATCCCCGGAGGAGCCTCTGGAGTTTGCAAGTCTTCGAGAGCCCTACACTGTCCGCTACGGTGTAGCGACCCCGGTGGGGCATCAACATAGAGATCTCGCACGCGGCTGAGGGGCGCTAGGGTTTTATGGTGCCGGAGGAATTCAGGGGGGGATGGGGGAGAGGGGTTTTTAAGGGTTTAGGGTTATAGCTACCCCCCAGTAACTTTAATACGGAATTGATGGTGTCGTACGTTGTTTGGATCTGTTCGCTTTACACTGTGTTGATTCTCTTGTTCTGTTGCTGCTGCAGCTGCGGCGATGACGACGGCGACGACGACGTTGTGCTTAACCTCGTGTGGCTGGTAAGCAGGTCCGCGGCTATCTCTACGCCCTTGCTTTTTTCGATCCGTAGTGATAACCCACATCTGCAGGATTGGGCAGGTAAAATGAGAGAGGTTTGCGTAGTGGCGGATGAGCGCAGAATCGCGACTTTGCCGAATAGGAGATGAAGGGAAATGGTACACGGAGATCTTTCGGGTTCCGCCTTCGCGAGGCCTAGGTATAAAGTTTCACGGAGAGCTCTGTATCATGGGTAACTACGGTAGCGATTGTCGCTACGGTTCGCAGAAGTGTCATCCGGCTGGCTGGAAGAAAACAGTCAGACGAGGAGCAAACAGGAGCAAGCAGTTCGGCCGTTTTCATCCTTCACGGGGCAGCGGTTAGGGACGATAAAGGTCAAGTAAGGAGATTAAGGAGGTTGCAAGGCATTCGTATCCAGCGGGTTCCGTCGTACGAATAAACGTGGCGTATGTATCGGCAATTAATTCAAAGTGCAGTTTATCGCCTCACCATGTCGCGTGTAATGTGCGCCGTTTGCCGGCGATGGAGGGGTTGTGTGGCGGAAAGGTTGGTACATTAGATTTTGCATCTGATATGCAGTCCGTGCGGAGATATATGAACAAGCTTTTCGTTGGAGTTTCTATTTCTTTAGCGGATAGCGATCCAGCGAGCTTTTGGCGACGTGACAGGACTTGGACAGCTCAGCTGCTCTCCAAGCTGCCTTTCATGGTTCACATATTAATCACATGAAAAGCTGCATAACTTCATTACTTTGTAAGGTATTTTTCCTGAGAAACCCTGACCTGATGGATTATACGGCGGTGACCGGAGTTAAAACGCGAGCGACTGCACAGTGAATAGTTGCATGATCACCTGTAACACAAAGTATAATGTGGTTAAATGTATAATGTCATAGTTAATGCATTCGTCGTTTACAGCAAGCTTGCAGGTGGAATCTCGACTCTGTTATCTCATTCCCATGAGAAGCCAAGCTTGTCATTGGCCTTGATTTTGCTTCTATATGATGATAGGAGCCTAAGTTCCAAGTAACGCATCTGGAATTGAAGGAATGGGGTCGGCGGCATCGAGACATAGAAGGCGCTCGGCAACCGTTTTCCCACAGGCGCAGACAAAAAGTGCCTTAGGGGAAGCCATTATTACAAGCGCAGCTGACAACAAAAATCCATCTTCGACGGGCGTGCCTCAACAGAGTATCGAAGTCAAGTCCACGCGCGACATCGCCGCTGGCGTTGAGCCTTTCAAGTCCCTTCAGCCACCTCGAAAACAAGCCCAGACAACATGTAAAATATCTTGCAGCAGGCACCTCTTATACGAAGGAACTTTGGTCGCGGTCAAGGCCGTAGGAGACGCCGACGATGGCCGCCCTCGCGCTCTCGCGAACGTGCAACTCGTGGTGGCCTGGCCTGAATATCTATTCCTGCAGCAGCAACAAGAAGGACTCGAAACAAGCGACCTATCTCCGGCCCACGTGCTTGCCAAGGTGGTCACGCTTCGCGTGGACCGCCTGCCCCAGGCTCTCCCCGATGTCCGCAACCCCAATAAGCCGCCCTTATCCCCAAGTACCGTGTCCTCTCAACCCACATCCCCCACAGCTGATCCAACAACATCACTACCCTCATTTCAGCAGCCACAGCTTCCCACAATCTCCCTTCCCCCCGGCCTAGAGCCCGGCTCCACCCTTCAATGTAATAGCGCCGCGCCCGTATCCACCGCACATTCTACCTCGTCTCTATCAACCATATCTCAGCGCCGAAACCCTACCTCCACCACCAACTCCCGGCGCGGGCAGCTATTGAACAAGGCTGCTGGGGGAGATGCCGCCGGCCCGCTACCGCCGTCGGCGACACCCTCCCGTACCATTACGCCAGCACCCTCCAAGTCTGCAGTCCTGCCTCCAATTGCACACGTCACCGCCACCGTCGAGACCGCTGCGGCGGCGGCGGGACCTCCGCCGAGCAGCGGCGCCGCCGCAGCGGCGTCGGCGGCGGGTGGTCCCCGAGCCGACGGCTTTTTCCTCCTGGCATCTCAGTGGTCCGGCACAGCACGAGACGGGCCCTGCGGTGGGCTGCATCTGCGCAGCTGCGCGCCTCCTGGAGCTGTAGCCCCGGCGGAGACCGGGCCCCAGGCACTAACCCTAGAGCTACTGCCGCAACCTTTTCTCTTCCATTTCGCACTGGTGTACCGGCGAGACGAGGCGACCGCGTTCCAGAGTGAGGTGCTCCACCAGCTGGGGTCATTGGTACGACGGACGCGGCCGTTGCGGGTGTACGATATGACTGCGGGGGGAAAAGTAGCGGCGGCACCGCCGTCGGCTACTATCGCCGTGTCCAGCCGGCCGGACCTTAGCACGTCACATCACCGGGCGACGCCGCCAACACCGTCAAGTTCAAAGAAAAGACCATCATCGTGCAGTGCACCGTCCACACCAGGAGGCGTCGCTGATGACGGGACTTTTGGGTGCGGGATGCTGGGTGGCGTGACGCTGGATGCCGGTGGTGGTGACGGTGGCGGAGTGACCGCGGCCGCAAATCTGTTGGTCCTGCTAAGTCCTGGGGTGTGGGAGTGTGATGACGTGGTCTCCGCAGTACGGCAGCTGCGACCTGCCACCGGCACCAGGCTGCAGCCACAACACCCATGTCCCAGCAGCAGTAGCAGCTGTAGTAGCAGCAATATCAGCAGATATAATTGCAGGTTTAGAAACTTGTTGCTGCTTTACGTGGACTCTGTGGATGTCTTTGGCGGCTATCACGTGCCCACACCGCGAAGCTCCTCCTCCCCGACTTCGGACCTTCTGGAAATGGCTACCCAAGTTGCAGTAGATCTCCGTACAATCTTTAATTCTGCGCCCCCAGACATAGCAGATCTGCTCACGGAGGTACGGTGGGGTTGACGGTTGGCGGTTAGCGGTTTATAAAAAGGTTGGATTCAACTGTAAGACGCCGCGCACTTATCCACTCATGACATTTCCGACCCCTTCCCCCCTCGCTACTGCTGCCGCTGCTACCGTTGCTACTGCTGCTAGCGCTGCTGCTACTGCTACTGCTGCTGCTATTGCAACGGCTGCTGCTACTGCTTCTGGTTCTGCTACTGCTGTTCCTACTGACGTCAATGCAAACATCCCCATCATCAGCAGGCGGAGGTCATTCCGTACAGACTCCACTCTCACGCAGCGGCGGCGGCGGTGCGGCGCGTAGTACAGCTAGGTGGCTGCGGGGCACGGCTGGAGCGGGAGGCGGTGGTTAGCGAACTGGAGGTGGGTCTGAAGCCCCGGGACGGTGTGTTGGAGATTTCTTAAAATCCGTTCCTCTACAAGCCTGCGGGCCCTGCGGCCTGAGTGGCTAACTTCTGCATGTACAGGCCGCATGGGCGGCTCCCCGGCCGCGTTAGCATACTTCGGACGCATCAAAGTACAAAGACAATACTGTTAACATTTTTTTCCTATTTTCAAACAAAAAATTTAAAAAAGTTACTTATAGAATAATGTTTTATTCTAAGAATATAAAAGATATAAGTAACACCCATTTTAGCATACGTTAACGAACAAAATATGGTTTTCGGCCAGGAACAATTAAATAAAAATCATTTTCAACTGAAAGAACAAACCAACTAAATTAATTCGGAAAGTTCAAATGGAAATAGATTCACTAACTATTAGTTTAGCACCAGGCAAAAACGAAACTCTTGCAATGCTACAACACCTTACCTTCTCCCACTATGTACGGCATTTTCTATTGAGTAAAAGTTGCTGCATTCTGCTTGCCGACCGATTAGTGATTCACCCTATCCCCGGCCCACAGTCTCCGCACCCGGATGATGTCGTTTTTCGTCTTGATGTCGCTGGCGTCTTCCACACACTAGCAGCTGCATGTCAACTGCTGATATGGTCCTCTCAGAGGCATCCCCTCATCACTCTCTCTCTCCACTTCCTCATATACTCACGCTAGTCCTCATATACAACGTTCCATACATGTGGACCACGTGGGCCTTTCCTTTAGGCCTATCTTGCCGCGTCATCAGCGGACGCGCAGCCGCCACGACCGTATCGCCCTACCGGCAGCTCGTCCCGCAAACTGATCCCCGCCTTCTATTACGAGGGCGTGGCGTTACGAGACCGCGGAGGCGGCCCCGAGGAGCCGTCCGCGGGCGCCGCCGCTGGCAGCGGCGGCGTTGGCGCCGCCGCCGGTACCCTCCAGGTGCGAGGTTGCTACCAAGCCGTCGTCACTTTTGACGCTGCCGCGTCGCAGATCCGGATGGATCTGTCGTACGTTCCATGGATCTCAGAATCGATGCCGCCGTACAGTCGGACAATTACGCTGCACTGGCAGCAGGAGGGAGTTGACAGAAGTGCCGGCAGTGGCGGTGGCGGCGGCGGAGGTACGGTAATTCAGCTGGGGGAGGTCGCTCCAGGGAGCAGCTTTCGAGCCAGATGGGAGGGACGAGTGGCTGTGATCGGCGGCGAGATGAGGCTGGCAGAAGACCGAGATGACGTCATCTTGAGGTGGGTTTGCCGTACTCCGGCATTGTACGATATCTGCCGTACGTACGTGTGCTAAAAATGCTTTCCCCGATATGTATGCGTCTTGAGGGCTCTGGTTCGCCAACCTATCTGGTGGTTGCCTGAAGGTGTTCTCTCCAAAAATGCGTTTACTTGCTTTTACCGCTACACAGCCGTACACTGAGTTAGCCGCTCCACATACCCAATGATGAATGAATGAACGAATAAATCCCGAAGGCCGCAGCCCTTCTTCTTCCATTTCTACATCGCGGGTGCACCAGATACCGCCGCTTCAGGCCTCTGCAGCCAGCTCGCTAGCAGCCTACATAATCACAGCTGCCCAGGGCGTCGAGTACGACTGTACAACAGTTGTGGGCGACCGAAGGACGAGCGGTACGGCGCCATGGACAGCAGTGCCGCAGTCCTTGCGGCGCTGTCGCGCGGCTCCTGGTCCGATGACGCATTTTGCGGCGATCTCAAACGTGCGGCAGCGACGGGGCGGCGAGTGCTGTTCGTGTACGATCCGGATCCAGCAGCGGCCGACCACGTGAATCCTGGATCTGCCGCACGCGGTGCGCCGCCCGGGGTGATCTCAGCGCTGCTGTCAGCGTCCGACATTTATCCGTACTTTAAGTCGTGCTGGTACGAGCAGAGCGCATGTATGTGGCAACTGTTACAGGCGGCGGGTTTTGCGCGGTGTGTACGGCAGCCACTGACTGAGGACGACAGCTTCCTGTACGAGCTTCAAGAGTCGCGGTGCGAGTTGGGCGGCTTGATACTTCTTCGGGAGCGGCGCTGGGTTTACTACGAGGGTGTTGCAGGTGTGTGTGTGTATGTGTGTGTATGTGTGTGTATGTGTGTGTATGTGTGTGTATGTGTGTGTATGTGTGTGTGTTTGTATGTGTGTGTGTTTGTATGTGTGTGTGTGTTTGTATGTGTTTGTATGTGTGTGTATGTGTGTGTGTGTGTGTTTGTATGTGTGTGTTTGTATGTGTGTGTATGTGTGTTTGCTTGTATGTGTATGTGTGTATGTGTGTGTATGTGTTTGTATGTGTGTGTTTGTGTGTTTGTATGTGTGTTTGTATGTGTGTTTGTATGTGTGTTTGTATGTGTGTTTGTATGTGTGTGTATGTGTGTT